GATTGCTCTTGGCTTATCTCAGTATTCCTGTTGTACAGAATCTTCTCTCCAGTAGACAACAGATGAATACTAGCTTTGAACCATTGAGGATTATCAACACATACGGAGCTTTTGGCAGGTAAACTAAGACATCAATATGTATCAGAAAATTTAATAAATCCTCTCTCTCTCCCTCTCTCTACTACACTTTCCTTTTATCTCCTCTCCTTTCTCTCCCTCCTCCCTTCTCCTCTCATCTCAGATTCCAGCTGAACAAGGTCAGACTTATGCATCAGAAGTTAATGCCATATTTGGAGAGACTAGTGCCCTCACTGCTAGGAATGTTGAGGAAATGTTCATTGAAATAAGTGAGTAGCTACTAATGATGTACTGTAGTATGTACTATTGTAACATAATCTCTCTCTCTTGTCTCATAGCTCGTAAGTTACCACCAGATTGTTTAACTAGTTTACCAGCTGGTGCCTCTCTCTTAAGACAGACTGATACACCACGTGCTAAGGGAGGATGCTGTGGAGGAGGGGAGAAAGGATCATCATAATAGTTCAGTTAAAATAAGATAATAAATTAATGATTATTATTATTATTATTTTAATAACAACTGACACATGTACTGCTTGCCCAATAAGCTGGTTGTACTATTCTCTTCTATTTTATTTTAATTGTCTTTGATTGCAATAATAATTTATTATTAAAATGGGTGAACGCAATTATTATTATTATTATTATTATTATTATTTTGTATTTACTTGTTTTTGTATGTGTTTATCATAAATCACTTTGTTAATTATTTTATGTTTAAATTTACCAATATTGAAAGGAGAGAATTCTTCAATTTTTATAATTTTAAATTTAAAATTACATCACTTCTTCACCTCATTGCTAAATCCTTACCTGTCCTTCTTTCTCAATCTTCTCTTCTTCCTCTTTTCGAAAAGCTTCGTACTAAAAAAAGGTCTTTTATTACGCCCACACAATTAATTAAAACCTTGTCTGTGACTGGGAACATAACGAGGGGGCAGCACAAGGCTGGGGTATCATCAATAGGTCAGGATCTAATCCAAAGACGTCACAAAATTGAAAAGAGTTTCCTACACCAAGTCCATCGACATACTGGGAAATACAATACATTATAACATGAGACTATACTTTTAATTATTATTATATTTCAACGGTTTTTAAATTTGCCATTTTTCATTAAATAAACTTAGCTAAGAAAGCCTGCTTTCAAAGCCAATGTTTAGATTTTCATAATTGAAAGCTCTGGAATTTACCTAGACTTGTACATGCATCAGAGGCTGATATAGGGCATCAATATGCATCACAAATGTTGCAGGTGTTTTTGAGCCAATTTTTGGTCATATTTACCATGTTCATGACCTACAGAGAAAGAGGGGGTAGCTGCAGTTAGGAGACAAGTAAAATATTATAAACTAACTTCTGGATTAGCTTCTAAGGGCAGTCATCTGGGCTTGGAGTTGCTACTGCTGCTGGCCATCTTGATCTGATCAAAGAAGAAGTGAGGATGCCTTTCTCCTCACCTCCGCCACGTGTTGCTGCCACGTGGAATTACAGACGAGCTTTTGAGCGACTTTTCCAGCTCCGTCTTCCTCACCAAAGAATGCTAAGGCTTTCTACTAGCAGATGGATGTCCTCAGATTCCTCTGAAAGCCAGCTAGGAGAGAGAATGATGAATTTCGAGGAGTACAGAAAGTTAAAGAGATCTCTCAAGTGGAACGTTGGAGTTGCTGGTATTCCCATGGGGTGTATAGCTGTTGGAATTTCTTCAATGGCCAATCTCCACTTTATGCTACACATATTTGACACATTGTTACCACTAGAAGAAATAACACCAATAATGTAAGTAAGACAGGAGGAATAAAAGAAATAAGAATTATATATAATATATATAATATTATATTTCTGAAAAAAATTATTATTGTTTTTGTTTGTAGTGGAATGGATCCAATAGTGTTTGCGGCTGTGTGTGGTGCTGCAAGTGGGATGGTTGGATTTATTCTGGGCGGAGCTTTTTTTAACGCTGTCTGGAAGATGGTTTCAAGTAAAGCTAAGCAAACAAATTGAAAAGGTCCGTCTAAAAATTAAAAGAGACTTATTTAAAGAACTCCCAGAAGCGGCAAAAAATGAGAAAGGGTTAGTAAAGAAACCTGATAACTTTCAATATACTTAATTGAATAGTTAATTTAATAATTCTGCTACACAAATACTAGTTTTTACTTAATTTTTTGTTATAGAATTGAGCAAGAACCGGGAGAAGAGGAGGAAGAGAAGCCAACCTTTTCTGTTACAATGTCCTGTCACAAAACCCTCTATGATGTCAAGTGCTCCTTTGATTACACCAACAATGCTCAAGAGGACTATTACCTACTCAAACGAAACACTCCACTAGATGGATTCATCTCTTCTTGCATCACCGTCTCACATGAAGGAAACCCACTGGAGTATAAGGGCATGATTGTCTATCGTAAAGCACCAAACCTAAAAGAGTTTGTTCTGGTAAAGTCTGGTGAGACAGTATCAGCATCAGTTAAACTCAATGATCTATTCATATTCAACAGTGATGGTCACTACACCATTACCTACAATGGACCATTGAAGTGTGTGAGTAAGGACAATATGAAAGCACAATCTGTTGGAGCTAAAATGTCTGAGGTTGAAGTTGAAGAGTCCACCACTCTTTTGATGGATAACACTGTCCTTCTCTCTCGTCCATGCAGGCGCTGAAGAAGCTTACATTTAATTCGCTATAAAATAATATTTAATCAATAATAATAATAATTGATTTATAATTAAATCAAATCTGATATTGCCTGAATAGTTCCAGTAATATAGCAAGATAGTCATGAATTATTAGCGAGGGGGTGGAGTCACAATCAGGTGTTACTGCCGGGAGAGAGAGGGAGGTGTGAAGTCATTGCGCAATAGATCGTGTCTTTTACCGATCACAGCAGCTGCACATAACATGTCAATACAACATAATAATAAATAATGAGAACTGATCTGTAGGAGGGAGAGGGAATTAAAATAATACCTTCTAAATGACATGCACATGTACATGTATGAGAAATCCCAATATTCTATTATACATACATACATGATTACATGTTGTTGCTCAAAAGGTTTAAAAGATGAACTGATCTCATTGTTTGGTCCTGAAATGCACTATACTGTAGTATCAACAATACAGTACATGTACAGGTTTATTTGAGTCACATCAAAACATTTCAATTAAATTTCACAAAATTCTTATTTTCTTGCTGTCATTTTAAAAGACAATTGAAAAAGACAAACTTTTAATGTGAACATAGAGTATCCAACCAAAATGAAACAACTGACTAGAAGTACAAGGACAAGACCTGGAGAAAGGGAGAGACAGGTATTACAATGTAAATGGATCAATAGCATTATATTTATTCTAGCTATTTTGGCATGAGATCAATTATAGTCACTAGTGTACACTACATGTACATACTGTGGTAGAAGGAGTAGTGCCGACACAACCTATTAGTACACAGTTTATACAAGAAGATACACGTACATGTACATCTGATTAACAAGCACCAGCATGCTGTACATTGTACATGTACATGTACTATATATGCAGGTCAGATAGAATTTTGAAGTTGTTCAAAATCAAGTAAAAGTCCCAATACTAATATTGTCCCTTCCAAATTTAGCCTGTAATTAAAAAAGAAAAATTCTCCATTTTTATATTTTTTTCCTGATGCATACATGTGTATACATGTTCTTATTTTGTGTAGAAAGTTTGTGCTGATTCCAATCAAAATTGGATTTTTTATGAATTTTTAAAGTTACTCAAAATTTAGACAAAAGTCCCTGAACTATTAGTAACGAGGTAGCATTACTAAGTAGGATTCACTCCAAAACAGGCACATGGCCATCTTACAGGGACGTCATTTTCATAACTTTAAAGTTTAATTTTTAAAGTCAGGATTGGCTCACACTTTCTACACAGCATAAAGACATCAATATGTATCAGAAAATGTGATAAAAATTTGGAGAAATTTCAGAGCCATTTTTTGGAAAAAATCAAGGGCTTACAGCCTTAGGTACATGTACATGTATATAATTTTTAAAAATGAGCCATTTAAAAAATACCATAACTAAAAAAAATTGAAGTCGGAATTAGCTCAAACTTTCTACACAGCATAAGGACATTAATACATGTACTGTACATGTATGTATCTAAAAATTTAATAAAAAGTTGGGGTGATTTCGGCATTTTTGGGACCATTTTTTGGAAAAAACCTCGGGCTATTTTTCAAAATGATACAATAATGAGTACTTTAAAGCCACATTCATTAAACCACACCCTAACCACACCCACCTTACAAAGTCCATTAAACATTGCATTAAAGAGCACAAGAACAGCTCCTCTCAGTGGTGACTTTAGAAATATTGTAGAGAGACTCACAAGCATAATAATGAACACGAGCATCCTGATCATCAAACCAGACCAACACTGGCTAAACTAGTACTGGTAGATTTGTAACAATACAAGACTGAATGGAAAGAGAGAAATAGAGGAAAAGTCAAAATTAAGAACAATATACATGTACATGTACATGTGTATGCCATCATAATTATCTCCTTGAAATTGATCTTCCTTATGTAGTGTTGCTGGTATTTTAGAAGAAGATTTTAGCAAATTTGAACATTTGAATTTGAATTTTGAACCATTACATGCTCCACAAATTGGCCAACTTGAAACATGCTAATCATCAAAAGTTTAGCAATTACGTTACATGTACATGTACAAAATGTATGAGAAGTGTGACAACGGTTGTCATGGTGACCACATACCATCCCAAGTGCTATTGCTGTGGCGGCCAGTCCCACTAAACCTTCTTTCCTTGAGTTTGGGTTGGAGGATAAAGTGTAGTCATCTTTAAGATATGATATGATGTCCTTTATGTGGCTGAACTCTTTATATTTAGTGACATGATCTTTTAGTAACCTGTAATGAATGAAATAGACCGTAAATTGAACCAAAGTCCCTCTACTATGTACAGTGTCATGGGTCAAATTTCGTATAAAATGACTTGAATAGTAGAGGATTCTTTATTTTCAGTAATTTTTTTCTGACACATATACATATATGTACATGTCCTTATGTTGCATAGAAGTTTGAGCTGATTCTGATCAAAATTAGATTTTTCACAAATTGTAAAGTTGCTCCAAAATGTTAATGATCATTTGACTCAGTATCATTGAGTCTATTGTAGTATGCAATATATTACCAAGAGTACTCTTGATATTACCTTTCTAATTCAAGAGCAGCTCCTTTTCTCTTCTCCACTAGTCTATCAGTGAGTCCACGAGTTATTGACACTGGTATTATACCACTAGTACTAACAACAGATCCTACACTACCTAATGACTGCTGCTGATGGTGCTTATGCCGACCTGAGACTGCACTAAAGGGCAATAGATATTAGAGTACAGGAATATCTATGAAAGGGCGGAGCTGGTTAAACCACGCCCATAGCTGCACTTATTAATTTAAAAAGATGGAGATGGTTCACTTAAATCTTCCTCTTCTGAGAGATGAGGTTCATCAAATCATTCCTCTCTCTCCTCCTTCTGCTATTCTGAGGTGGACGTATATCTGTATGGAAAGAAAGAGGTAAGCCTATCAATCATGATTTTATATGATCCACGTGATAACACGAGTTTAGAGTATTCAAAAGTACGTCTAGGTATACGGAACTAAATCCAATAATGGAGGCGGGAACAGAGCAATCAAAGGAAGAGTCTTCAGAAGATTTCAATATTAGGAAGAGTTCTTCTTCATCATCAGTGGATGAAGATGAAAGAAAGTTACTTGCTGGCTCGTACTGGCTGGTTAGAATATTGTTCATTAGATCATTTTCAGCTATTTACTGTAAGTATAGTCATCTCGTGGTTGTGAGGTTGAGGGTGGTTAGACAAGTTTCATTTACATGTAATTAAGTTAAGACTATTAGATGTACTGTAGTGTAGTTGACTACTTCAGTGTTCCAATTATCATTGAACTTTTACCACATTTGATCATATCAATGTCCCCGTTACAGCTTCTTAAATACTAAGTAATATACTAAAATTTAGACTACGCCAATTACTGATTATTGATACCATCTCTTTTGAAGAGAGAGCAATAGTTAAAGTGTTGTTGTTACAATCTCTCTTGTATTTATTTCTAGTTGTAGCATTTCTTATTGCACTCTATCAGAACAAACAGCTCTTGGGAAGAAATGGGCTCCTACCAATTCACTTATACCTTCAAAATATTCAAAAGAACATAGGCAGTGAGTCTTCATGGAAACTGATGAGTTTTGTCCCAACATTATTTTGGTGGGTACCAGAAGAGTACATTGATATTAGTTTAGATTCAATGGCAACAGTGGGACTGGTGGTATCTGGTACAATGGTGTTTCTTGGTGCAGGGAATGTAATTATGTTCTTTATATTGTGGGGACTGTATCAGTCATTATCTAATGTGGGTCAGAGATGGTTAGTTATTATGTACCATATCATTTATTGTTATTATTTTTTATTAGGTATTCATTTGGTAAGTGATACTGCATATCATGCATAAAGAGAAAATGTCGTGAGCTAAAAACATTATTATTTTATATTTTAATCAAATTAATGTTTAATAAAATAAAATTAATATCTGCATACATGTACATGTACATGTAGGTACAATATGGTCATTGTGTATTGTATAATGTGTACATTATTAGATATTCATATACATGTACATGTAGGTTGGGAGTCTCAGTTACTTGAAATGGGTTTCCTTGCAATGTTCTTATCTCCAGTTTTGAGTTTGAGCCAGTTTCCACGTCACACGCCCACAAGCTGGACCAATGTCTGGGGAAATCGCTGGATGATATTCCGCATTATGATTGGAGCTGTAAGTGAGAGAAAGGATGTGATTGAATATTGGAACCTTCTTTAGGGTTTGATAAAGATGAGAGGTGATAGCTGTTGGAGGGACTTGACTTGTATGAACTATCATTATGAGGTTTGTGCATTGTATATTGTATAGTGTATGATGCTTTAATGTGGTGGAGTTTCAGTTTGACATTTGTGATCTGAGATTGATTTATAATCAGCATAAGTTGCCGTTTAGATGGCATTGTTAGTGCTGTATGGGCATCCATGCTTTTTCAAAAAATGGCTCCGAAATCACCCAAAATTTTTATTACATTTTTTGATACATATTGATGTCCTTATGCTGTGTAGAAAGTTTGAAGTGATTCCGCCTAAAAATTTTTGAGTTATGGCCATTTTTAAAAATTGGCCATTTTTGAAAATTACCCTGTACTGTAGCCCATAGTTTTTCCAAAAAATGGCTCCGAAATCACTCAAAATTTTTATTACATTTTTTGATACATATTGATATCCTTATGCTGTGTAGAAAGTTTGAAGTGATTCTGCCTAAGAATTTTTAAGTTATGGCCATTTTAAAAAATTGGCCAATTTTTGAAAATTACCCTGTACTATAGGCCCATGGTTTCTTCCAAAAATTGGTTCCGAAATCACCCCCAATTTTTATTACATTTTCTGTTACATATTGATGTCCTTATTCTGTGTAGAAAGTTTGAGGTGATTCTGACTGAAAATTTTTGAGTTATGGCCCTTTCAAAAATCGGCCAATTTTCGAAAAATACCCTGTACTATAGCCCATGATTTTTCCAAAAAATGGCTCCGAAATCTTCCCAAATTTTTATTAAATTTTTTGATACATATTGATGTCCTTATGCTGTGTAGAAAGTTTGAAGTGATTCTGCCTAAAAATTTTTGAGTTATGGCCATTTTTAAAAATCGACCATTTTTGAAAATTACCCTGTACTGTAGCCCATAGTTTTTTCCAAAAAATGGCTCCGAAATCACCCAAAATTTTTATTACATTTTTTGATACATATTGATATCCTTATGCTGTGTAGAAAGTTTGAAGTGATTCTGCCTAAAAATTTTTGAGTTATGGCTATTTTTAAAAATCAGCCAATTTTCAAAAATTACCCTGTACTATAAGCCCATGGTTTCTTCCAAAAATTGGCTCCGGAATCACCCCCAATTTTTATTACATTTTCTGTTACATATTGATGTCCTTATTCTGTGTAGAAAGTTTGAGGTGATTCTAACTGAAAATTTTTGAGTTATGGCCATTTTAAAAAATCGGCCAATTTTCAAAAATACCCTGTACTATATATAGCCCATGATTTTTCTAAAAAATGGCTTCGAAATCTCCCCAAATTTTTATTACACTTTCTGATACATATTGATATCCCTATGCTGTGTAGAAAGTTTGAAGTGATTTTAAAATCTGCTAATTTTCAAAAATTTCCCTGTACTATAGCCCATAGTTTTTTCTAAAAATTGGCTCTGAAATCACCCCCCACCCCCCAATTTTTATTACATTTTTTGATACATATTGATGTCCTTATGCTGTGTAGAAAGTTTGAGGTAATTCCAGCTAAAAATTTTTGAGTTATTGCCATTTTAAAAAATTGGCCAATTTTCGAACATTATCTTGTACTATAGCCCATGGGTTTTTCTAAAAATGGCTCCAAATTCACCCCAATTTTTAATTATATTTTCTGATACATATTGATGTCCTTATGCTGTGTAGAAAGTTTGAACTGATTCTTGCTAAGTTTTTTCAGTTATACATGTACAATGTACATGCTTGATTGTAGAAAAGTAAAAACTACATGTACCTACCACTGAGGAATGGGGCAACCTCAATTCCAACTATATTGTTTTGATGTATGTACCTGTAACTGTGTATAAAAGGGCCCAATTTCTGAAAATGCCTTATGCATGTACATG